GGTTATTATACATATATAACTATGATTCTAAGAAGAACACACAGAGATTTAATGAGATTCTGCAAAGATGTCTGTGTCTTCGGAAGCAGAGCGGCGACTTTCTTTTAATTCCAGAAAAGAGTACAGAATAGTTATAGGGTTACAAACAAGGCGTATATATAATTATGTCGTACAATATGTAATTACAAAATTACTCTTGTACCGTACCGCAGGGGCTAACGAAACTCCCATGATTGGACAGACGCTTCTGCTCGCGAGCTCCACTGTGCTGGCTCACTCTGCTCAGCATCTATCTGTTATCTGATATATGAGTCATAACTAACACAGATTATTCAGTTATAAAAGATGTTGGGGGTATATCTTACCGATCCTTGGATACCAAGCCCAAAGGCAGAAAAAGAGGAAAGCTTGGCTGGGGAACATGAAACCATGTTAGTGTGTCAGGGATTACTCATTTAGTCAATTTTGAATTATATTGGTCCAGCAAGAGAATAAAGAGACTTTAGCCTCTCTCACTCAGTCAATATAATTAATTTCATATGTTTCTACTCTACTGAGATAATTGAGAATGGCTATAAAAGTTTCTCTCTTTTTTGAGTTAAGAAATTTAATCGTGCTATGTATGTATGGCTGAATGTCGCCCGACCGACTCAAATTCAAGAGTAGATGGTGTACTAAGCCAGATCATTGAATACCCCATGAGCTGACTAACACGGGTAGTCGAGTCCCAACGGCCAAATAGAAGTTACCAATTCATCTGTTGCAGGCAACCATAAGTGTGATGTTTAATCGTGATTGCTCGCCAATTTGGCGAACGGAACAAGTCTGCATCATTGCCCAAGAGAGAGATTTAATCGGGAAGAGTAACTCATCCTGAAATTGAATTGTTCGAAGCCGAATTATCTCAAATGTCGGGTAGGCTGACAAAAATGTCACTTAACAAGCATTATGAAAAGCATGTGTCGAGATATGGAACTGTCAACGATGATATCTATTTTAATATTAAAGTAAAAAAAGAAGGACAAAAAATAATAAATCAGATATTTTTTTGTGATCTTTGTGTAATGAATAGTTATTTTATGACATACGAGAAAATCCTCTTAAATAGAGAAGAAATTGCAATGTAAATGTGACATGTTCTTTCCATTATGTCATTCTTTTTATGAAGAATAGTACTTCAACGCTTCTCTAGCTTATTATATAGTCCAGGTATGAGTCTAAGGAGAAATGGAGATCCAACATTGTATATTTAAAATTTTCTATTTTAAAATTATACGTAAATAATACTTTTTTGGGGATATTTGGGTTCATTTTAATTCTTATTTTTTTTATTATTATGTATATATTTTTACTTGAAATGATGTATGATTGGTATGTTATAATATGTTTAATTTTTTTTAAAATCATTTAAAATAAATTTTTGATGTTTTGAATATTTTTAAAAACAAATTAATTTATTTTTAAAAATAAATAATAAAAAACATAAAAAATGAATATGCTTAGAGTATTTTTAAAATAATGAATTTTGGCTAAAATCTAATAATTTTATATTTATCACTTCGCTTTTATAGCAACTTTAAAATAATAATAAAATAACTCTAGGTGTTTTCCTCAAGATTAAACAAACAAAAAATAAAGGAAAAAATATTACATGAGGAGTCCTGATGCATCAGAGTCTAATGATGGGAGCCACGTGTCAAATGGGCTCTATCGTTTTTAACACCGCCCAATACATATGTATTACTGTGGAGCCCACTTGACACGTGGCACCCTACCATTAGACTCTGAACGTAAACTACGTTAGGAGCCCTGATGTAATGTTCTCTCATAAATAAAGTGACGTTTTTAGCATAATGTAGTGTTGTACATATTTTTTTTTATTAAAAGTTTTCTATAATTAATTTTTAATCTTTGATTTTGTCTTTTATATGTATGTAAATGAGATGAAATTATAATTGATAATGATTAAAGGAAATACTTGAAATTAATTTTCTTCTCTTATTTGATTAAGAAGAAATTAAGTAAATAAATAACATTTTTTTTATTTTATTTGTGAGAAATGGTGTGTCTATTTGGAGGAGATGAATAATGATTCAACAACTTTTTTTCTTACATCTTTTACCAAATTTAGGCAGTATTTGTCAAAGAAAAAAAAAAAACAATGCATAAATATATTTAGATCAATTAAATTACCTATGAATTATATTAAAAACTCATATAAAACATGAAATTTTTAAATTAAAAATAAAAATTACATTCACCCTGTTCCTTCAAATCAAGTTTTTGAATTTATTATAGCTAATATCTAACCAAAATAACAGAATCTACAAATTCAAAGCATATTTTTATAGCAACCATATGTTCCATAGGATGGGTCTGAACACTGTTAGACATGCATGTGGTTGAGAGCACATTTGCATACTTACCACATAATTCCTATATATTTACAAATCTAACATCTAAACATCAATTTTTACATAAATGACACTTATGCATAAAAATGTGCATTTCACTTTTAAAAGTTAATAGTGATATTTTTCGAAAGATATGAGCGATATAAATGTAAGAAGTAAGGTTTTGGTATTAGATATTGTACATCAAAAAGGTGTCAGTGCAGATCTCACAGGGATCGGATGGTCAAGAATAAATAAGCGTGATGAAGGAAAATCCTCTGCAAGAATATCATGGGACTAGTCGAGCTGGCCAAGCCAAGCAAACCGAGTTAAAAAGCGATGTAAGGATGGTCGGCCGGTACCAACCAAGCATCTTATCTTGAAGCTCACCAGGGGAGTGTCTATGTCTCTAACCAAGAGAGAGCTGACTCCATGCAAAAGTTTATCCCGCAAGAGAACATTCCCAACAGGATGGTCATTTATATAGAGCATCTTCGTCCATTCAACGAAGAACAACTGACTTCATGCTAGAAGTAGGATTATTGAGCGTGTTGTTTGACCAAGTGGTCCAAACCAATCGAGCCCCACCAAACAACATAATTGATCGTGCTGAGTCGACTAAGCACGACCATTTACACTAAGCTTCTCTGGGGCGTGATGACTCCTTGCATGAAACAAACGTTAGAATCAGTAGTACCATCATTTTATCTCATTATCAGGAAGATGAAAAGGAGCACAACTAGTTCTTGAGCTCATTGTGCAATCATGTTGTCGCAACGACATCTTACAAATAGAAATGTATTTGAGGAGAGAAACTCATTAAAACTTTGTTATGGGAGATTTGTGAGTGGAAACCCTTAGTTCCATCCCTTATTTATTAATAATCGGCCACAGCAGCATCGGGACGCCTCTTCGTTTGATGTGTTAGAGTGTATTTGAGGAGAGAAACACAGTGAATGGAAACTCTTTGTTTCATCCGTTGGCGTCACCCATGATGTTTTACATGCAGGATGTCAACTTGAATGTTCTGGGACTGTGTTCAGTTTGTTACATGCATGATTTTAGAATTATAGCGAATATAATAAATAACAAAATATATACTTTTTTTAGTTTTAAAATAAGGGTCATTAAATGTGAACCCAAAACGTGCAAGGTGATACGAGTTAGATCTCTAGCATAATCATACTCGTGTCAGTCCTGATGCTTTAACTTACTTTCATCACTTGGATCGACACGACAAACAATGCTCGTTAATAAAGTTTTCAAAATTGAATAAAGTTTTCACCCATAAATCAATTAAATAAAGAGAAATTCAGATATACAAAAAAAAACTTTTTTCATTTAATTTTTAATAATTTAAAAATAATAAACTTATTAAAAAATAAACAATTAATAGAAAATTCAAAATAAATTTAGAATGACCAACAAGACACCCATATATTTCTTAAGCCCAGGGAATGTTATAGGCCTAAACGAGTCATTTTATAAAGACTAACCCCTACAAACAGAAGGTATTAAATGTAAATAAGGATTCACTCCTGTGACTTCTTTTTACAATATAGCAGACGAAAGCCTCTCTGACCCCCATCATTCTACTCATCCTTGCCTTAACTCAACAGCACAACTTTCTCTCTCCTTCTTCACGCTTTATTTATTGGGTTTGATTCAAGGATAAACATGAGTTCAACAAGTGATATTTACGAAAATCCCCCTTCTTCTCATGAGAGACATTTGCTAATTTATATTTCATAAATTAGATAACACATATAAATAATTATTCAATCTCAAATTATGTTGAAGTTAGTGAGGCCAAGTTTATAATTGATTTGAAATTAATGAACATTAAAATGGAGTTAAAAAGTTTTTCAAGTAGTTTCTTGGAACAAAAAATTTGTCAGAATTCTAAGTTTTTTCATCAGTTTTTTTAGTCCAGGCCATGGGTTTGAGTTGAGCCCAACCGATCCATTAGGGACTATACAGCAATATAAGAGATTTAAGTTAGTAGGATTTCTAATGGATTTAGTAAATCCTGAAAGGGCAAATTTCTAATGGATTTTAGTCCTCTTAAAAATTGATTTGTAATGGATTTAATAAATCATGTTAAGTTCTATGAAATTGTTTGACAATTTCTATTAGAATTTAAGAATATATTATGATTATTAGACTTTAACAATAAATCATAATAGAATTTATTAAATCATGTAAATTTGACTTCTTAAAACATTAAAAAATAGTCAAACTAGATTCTTAAATTCAATTAATATTTTATTTCAAATATGATAATTAATAATTATATATTTACTAAACTAATTAATTTTTTTTATTAAATTAATGAGTAAATATAAGTTTAACATTTATAAGAGAGAAATTAATTAGTTATTAATGATATTTATTAATAATTACTTATAAATTTATTGAAAATATAAAAAAATTATTTATATTTTTTATTAATTAATAATTAAATAATAAATAGATTTGTTTAAGTATAATTAATCTGATATATTTAATTGATTATTAATTATTAATCATTAATCAATTAAATAAATAAAATTAACTTTAAAATAAAATTAATGAAACCCTGGGCCCCTGCCCGCCGCCGCCCGAATCCGTAAGATCCTGATTTATCAAATCCGAGACTTATGACCGTCTCGAAAGATTTAGGGTAAAACCTGCTCTAAATCGATTACCAGACAGGCCGTCGCCGGAGATGAAGACTTCATATATGAAGTTGAGGGGCAGCCAATATTTCCGGCAGCGTCTCCTCCTTTCGACCCTCTCGTCGACGCCGATACTCGTAGAGGATATCCGATCCGAGTTTACCTCTCCGGGACTTCGTCCCTATGAAGTCTCGCTCTTGCGCCTCCTTGAGAAAATTTCCGATGACTGTACCGTCGAGATCAATGATACAGGTCTGAATTGTTTCACTCTATATACTCTTTTTTTTTCTTTGTGTATACAAATTTGTTTTTGATTTTGATCGTTTTAGGAACTAAACTGAGGTACAAACCGGGGGTTTTGATTGGAGGGAAAAGCGTTGTTCATGACTGTGGCCTAAGCAGATCAATTGGTTACTTTTTGGAGCCATTGATTGTGCTTGGACTCTTCGGAAAGAGGGCTCTCTGTATCAGGCTCAAAGGTTTGATCTTTTATTTTCTTAACAATTTATATTCATTCTTTCCTTTTGTTTTTATATACTGAATAATTTTGTGGTATGTGGATCCGTCTTGATTTAAATGTAAGAATCTTCAGACTTGCTCATTTGGTTTTTTTGTTCAATTCATTAAAAGCCGTTTATTTTAGCTGTTTGACAAAATTTCCCCTTATAATGTTGGCATTTTTGACAATATCGTTCTTTGCTTGTGAGATAGGCTCCTTTGGACATTGTTGAATGCATTGTGTTTGCACTTTCCTTTTTTCTACCTTAGTGATCATGTTAGGAATTTAGCGTAGGAATTGCATTTTACTCTGCTTGGCATGGCAGCTTCTTTCATCCACTCTCAAAAGGCGGAATTTTATTCATACTCTGTATGATTATATTCCATTGTGGCTTCAATTTGAAGCGCTGTAGGAAAGATTTAACTATATGCTTAATATATCATGCAGCCATGTAAGTTTCCCTTTATGCTATTGATGGTTTAGCAATAGACCCTGTTAGATTTCCAAATTGTGGATTAATGGAAATGCTCACTAATTATAGAGAAGAAAACCTTATAAACATCTAATTTTGCTGTCAAAATGGTATTCCTTTCTTTATTAAATAGCCCACTTTTAAAATATTAACATGCTGTTCAAGTTTTTTCTTAATTTTCTGGAAGCAATGTTTTGTGAGTGAAGAAAGTTTTGATTGCTCTCTCTGTATTTCTACTTAAAATAATAATATGCTTCTTATTTATGCAGGGATAACCAATGATTCTAAGGATCCAAGTGTTGATACTTTTCGGACAACTACATTGCATATACTCAAACATTTTGGTGTCTCTTTGGATGGTCTCGAGTTAAAAATTGAAAGCCGAGGTGCTGCTCCTCTTGGTGGTGGAGAAGTTGTTCTTGTAGTTCCAATTGTACCTAGTAGCTTAACTGTCAGTATCAACCATTATACGAGAGCAGCTCTCTTGCCTCCATTTCTATTTTTTCTCTCACACATTCTCTCATACACTCACAAGTATTTATTCACACAATTTGAAAATATGTCCCCCAAATGTTTAGCTACATGGAGCGATTCTCTATCTCAAATGCAAAGGTCTCCATAAACTCAGATAAGTCTGACACTACTTTAAATGCTTAAGCAGGCTACAACATGGATAGATGAAGGAATGGTTAAGAGAATCAGAGGAGTGACTTTCTCAACTAGGGTTTCACCTCAGTTTGGAAATCGCATGGTTTTTGCGGCTCGTGGGGTCTTCAATCGACTACTTCCAGATGTTCATATATTTACGGATCATAGATCTGGCCAATCTGGTGGAAGGTACGTATCTTTTTACTAAAGGCTTTCGCAATCTCACAAAATGTTCATACATTTATAGGCCTTCATTTTTTTTCCTTTTTAAGAAATTACTATTCTTAAGAAGATCATTTTTTTATGTAGAGTATATTTTTATTTACAGTTTTTATTTTAAGAAAGTATTGTACAGTTATAATGTAAAATGTAATGTGTGTATATAATTCAGTGTTCTCTCTAAATACTTAGACTTAAAACATGGTTAAGAATGAAGAATATGTTTAACAAATTGTATGAATATCATTATACTTGTTACTCTTTTAAAATTTTAAATAAAAGAAATAAATATCATAAGTTATCTAAATATAACATTTATATGGTTTTGAACTTGTGATTACGATTTTTTTTTTATCTTTTGATCTTTCAAGATTTCAAATTGATCTTATTTCTTAATACTAACCTTATAATATATATAAATAACTAAATAATGTATATATGTGCGCACACATTAAAATAATGGATTAAAAATTCAAAATATGTAATAAGTAAATATAATGGCATCAATTATAAATTTTCTAAAATTACGTAAACTATTTAAAGCTAAAACTTTATTTGATAGACAATTGCATAAACTAGTGATTTTTTTTTATTTATGTATCTTCAATCCAATAAGAATATCTTTTATATTGATAAGTAAAATTAGCTTGGCAAACTCATAATTAATGATAACAATGCCTTTCATAAAACCAAGTAAACCAATTTCTTGTTATGCTCAATTCACCTCTAAGAAGTTTTAGGAAAACCTCTTTTCTATGTGACAATGTCCTTGAGAAAATGTAACGAACAAACAAAATAATAACATAGGGACTAAGCGCTTTTTTATAGTTTGGCCTAAATAATAATCTACATTAATAGGAAAGAGGAGAGGAACCAATTGTTAAGAAACTATAATGTGTACAAGCAAAAAGAGCTTACGACCACGCACCTCCATAAGTTGAAGTACAAATATTGTCACCAATAAAAATTAGAAAACAGTTTAATTTTATGTAGAAATATAAGAGTTACATAAGGGAGCTAATAAATGAAGGCCGGAACTTATCAAAAGATCTCCACATAGATGCTCCTCAAAAAAGCCTCTATTCTCTCTTTCACTCTTTTCTATTTTTTAGCAATACCTGACTACAACTTATAAGCATGTTCAGACTTACCATACCTCTCTTCCATCTCTTATTTATAAAAGTATAAAGAGATGGAAATTCAAAATAATATATGGTTAACATAATAGAATTGGAACAAGCTTTTCAATCAATTCAATTTTAAAAAGATAATTTGGATAAATCTTCTCAATAGAATTTTTTTACTTATTATGTTAAAATTTTTGAGACGATGTCCTAATAATTGTCCTTTTCATTTTAATAATGTGACAATATATTAGATCTCTTCTGAGTCTTCTTTAAATCGTGAGATACTAAATCTCTATAAGAAACCCATGGGACGTTTGTTGTGCATCGAAATGGGTTCATTGATGCTAAAGTTACACCGAGTACCCTTAAAGTGACGGTTAATGTTGCAATGACATGATATGACAGTAAGACCATTGGTGCAACATGAGATTGGTACATATAATTATCTCTAATTGTCTAACACCCGATGTGGGCCGCTTTTTCTAGAACTCAATATGTAGCCATGAATTGAGTTTTTTTTTTTTTTTCCAGAATCCAGAATTTACAAGGCCCTCATTACAAGGCCCTCAATGCATATGATAATGCAATTGAAGCAACTCTACTCAACAGTTGCACTCTACAATACATGAAGTCCTCCAACTCTAAGGACCTTTATGGGAAAAAACACTCACTTTTTCAAATTTTAAGGGCTTCAACATCTCTAGAGAAGTTGCATCCTTTTTTCATTAAGAACATCTTGTGGTGTTAAATTCCTTCTGAGGTTTGATGCATGCTTGACTTTGGCCCTTATCCGTCCCAAAATTACGCATCGTCAATTTATCACTCCAAACCCAATTTTATTGCACATTGCATTGTTTCTTTTATAAACATTACCACTAGAACATACTCATAAGTAAAAAATAAGTTTTTATGAGCACACACTTGATAGCTAACTAAAAAAATCAACTGATACTGCATGACTCACTGTTATTTAAAGGATACTTATCTTTTTGTTGGACAAATTTACAAATATATTACATATACTAATCTATACTATTTATAGTTGTCTTTGGCATGCTACTTGTTCTTTTCCAAGCTTGAGAATCTCTCTTTATGTGCCCATTTTTCTTGCAATTGAAACATTTCAATTATAGGTACGTTTCATGAGATTGGCATCTTCCATGATTAATAGTAGTCCTCTTCTCAAAAACTCTTATATTCCACGAGCCTTAGCCTTTTTCTTATTTCCTACACGCTCATGGTTAGCAATCACATTTTATGAAAGAGTTGAATTTCTAAATTTCTTTAAACTAATTCTATCATATATATTGTGTCACAAAAATGCTTACTAAAGTGAAGTAAAGAATAGAATAGAATACTCATAAATCATGTTCATCATCATTAACCATCACATTTATTTTTCTCAAATCCCTAATGATAGAACTAAAATTATTAAAATGTGATTTGGTTGGCTGACCTTCATGGTTGTATAAGAAATATTAATTTCTACTTTTGATAAATTTTTTTATGGAGACTTTTGACCATTTACAAAGAGTCCTTGAGATGCAATCCCACCATGGTCTTCTCAAGCCTCTAGTAAGATCTCATTCAACGAACATAGTTGAATCCTTGAGTAAGGTTTTTCATCCATCACTTGCTTTTTTTCTTTCCATTAAACTTAATCTCCAGCGTTTTGAACACCTCATGAGCGCTTCATAAGTCTCCATTGGATTTGCATTTCTCGAAACTTGGTTCTCCAAAATGCAAAACTGTTTCAGCATGCAAACTTCTTGATTCAGTATTTCATTGCCATCATAATTTGATTAACCTTTAATACTAGTTGCTAGAAAACATATTTTATGTAGAAGCGATTATTGACACTGAATAATAATATGTAAAGCAAGCACTATAAAAGGACACTAAGATTTATATGGTTTGAACAAAATGATAACCTATGTCCTTGAGCAAAGATAGGAACTAATCCGCTATTTAGAAACTACACAACCATGCAAACAAAAATGGCACAATAAATGCCCTTTTCCTAATCTAAGTCCACCTAATATCACCCTGAAAGGGAAGCCCCAAACTCTCGTGAGATACAAATTTGAAAATATTCTAATACCTTGTAAGAATATAAGAATTACAAAATAGAGATATGAAGTACGGAGATTTGAATCATACCAAAGGAAACTTAGATTCTCCTAAAAGAACCCTATTCTCTATCTTGTTTTTCTCTTCTTCTATTTATCACTAGTGGCAAGCTATAACCCTTAAGCGCATGCATACTCATCATACCTCTCTTCTTTATTCAGTAAATTTAAAGGGGTGAAAATTTTAGAACGAAATCTAATTCTAGCAAACATTTAAACCAATTTCAATCCAAGAAGATGATTTTGTATGTTCTGAATTTTAGGCTTATCCTGACAAAATTATTGAGATAAATCTCTTAACAAGAAGGTGATCTCAACTAAATGTGATGGTTAGAAAAAAACATTCACATTTCTTCTATGTTCTCACATTCATGCTAATTTTAGCAAGTGGCTGTTTATTTAGAAACCTGACAAGCTAGGAGCAATCAAATAAAAAAATAGAAATCATTTAAAAATCCATTAAGAATTCAACAGAAGCTCGGTTTTCAATTCTCAGGCAATATTTAACGGAGCATGCATGTCCCAATTATCTGTTTTAGGATGTTTTTTTAACTCATCAATTGTTAATAAATTTAGGGGCATTTACATTCATAGCACCCAATTCGTATGTATTTACATATCCCACACCTAAACTTTGTTTGCACATAGCACTTAAATTTTTTATATCAAACACAAAATATAACTATTATTATTTTTTAAAAGTGAAATACACCTTTTCATGCATAGCTTAAAGCATCAAAGTGCTATTTATGTAAATATGAAAAGTGTAGGTGTGAATATGCAAATACATAAGAATTGTGTGCTAGGTTGTAAATTTCCCGTAAATATATATCTTAATACCATTGAATAATTTGCATCAAATGCCTATTAGTTTAATAGCAATTTTACTTGGATATGCACTCACTGACACAAAATTTACTTGTTGACTTGGCAGATCACCTGGCTATGGCATTTCTGTGGTTGCTGAAACCACAACAGGTTGCTTAATTTCAGCAGACATGGCAGTTAGCCATCCAAAAACTGAGATAGATGCTCTCATGAATTTTGAGGAGAAGTCGGAGCTCATGTCTCCCGAGGATGTTGGGACTCAAGTTGCTTCTATTTTACTTGAGGAAATTGAGGGTGGTGGTGTGATTGATTCATCCCACCAGGTATTTATTGAAATTTCTGACACTGCATTTTTAAGGCTTCGGTTTTATGTTTTGAAATTATTTTGTTATAAAAGCATATTTCTGCCAGCCCATCTATGTCCCCAACTTCTTTGAGTACTATATTCACGTAAAATTTACTTCAGCTTTCTTCATTTCATAAGGCATAGCTTTCTTAATGTTTTCATTAAATTAGGAATCCGCAATTGTAATCTGGTCAAGTGGTTCATGGTGTGGTTAAAAATCACATACATCTCAACGAAGCATTTTTACCTTGTTAAATAGAATTACAAAAAAAAAGTATTAAAATATTTAGAAAAGATCATGCCTTTTTTTTTTATTTAAAGCTTCATTTTTTTTCATTATGTTATCCTAAAATTATCTTTCTGTTTCCACAAGGGACTTTTCATTCAGCAGCTGAATTTCATAGTTCTATGGTTGTTTGTTCCTTGTGTTCTTAGGTTCTGATTTGATGTTGAAATTGAATTCAATGAAGCTAAAGGGGGATTTCAAATCTTGTGTTGGGGAGTTCATATTCATAATCAAACTGCATCTCAACCGGATTTCATTTAATTCATTCAATCTAAGCAGCCTTAAAGTTCCCTTCTTTTGTCCATTCAACTTCTAAAAATTCTATAAAATTCATGTTTGAATTATTTGCAGGGTCTCTTATTTCTTCTTTGTGCTCTTTGCCCGCCTGATGTTTCTAAGGTTCGTGTTGGAAAGCTCACGCCTTACAGCATTGGAACACTAAGAAACATTAGAGATTTCCTGGGAGTGAAATTTGTTATAAAACCAGAGCCGACCACAAACACTGTCATTTTAAAATGTGTTGGTTGTGGATTGAAAAACATGTCAAGAAAGTTTTCATGAGCAGCAGGAAAGAAAGCTCCAGTATTTGATTTACAAAGGCAAATCTACTGTTGTTCAAATTTTGGTAGTAGTATCATTTATTTGTATTGTTTTGGTGCATCATTTCTCAATTTGATTATTACAGTTGCTAAATTTACTGCATGTCGCTTTCTGCCTAAGATTTATTGTATAATGTTGAAGCATTTAATTAGTTCAGGCTATCACGGAGCTGCAGAAGGAAACCTGTTATTTCACAGATGCAATTTGTTCATGAGGAAAACCTTAGTGGAAGTTGCTTATTAGAGATATTTTGCTGTATTTTGCTTTCTGCTCAAGTTCATTTAAACTTGTCGTGTTGCTTCCCTTTTCTTTCTGTGTCTTGAGATGCTAGGGGGCAACTAGATGTAGGTATTTTTAAATTAGTCACATAGACTAAGAAAACATTATCGGGGCACATGGAATTTCTTCCAAATCTCTCAGTTGATTACATTATCTCTTAGAAGAATCACATTGTGTATATAAACTAAATCGAATTTAAATTAAGGATTTATGATTAAAAATATTGCTTGATGTATTTAGGAGCTAGCGATAAGCTAAAATTTCTGTTCATTAAGTTAAAAACTCTCATTTGGAGAGAATTTTTGGTGTACTTATTCAATTGCTAATGCCTAAATATATCTTAATATGATATCTTCATATCATCATTCACAGAGGGTAATTGAGGGTTTGCGAAAAATTGAAACTTTTACTAACATGATTTTATATCGTTTTTATTTTGGTTAGTTTTTCGTAATCAATCAAGTCATTCTCCTTATGAAGCACATTATGAAGAACATTATTGCTTAAGCCATGCCATTATGTTTGACATGGCATATGTTACAAATTCTATGATGGCCATGTATGATGATTTTTACAAATTCTATGATGGCCATGTATTTCATTGTTCATTATGTTCTCATCCATATAATAATTATGTTAGGTAGCATCGTTCAATACTTTTACAAACTTCACTTGTCCGAATTTCATATGCACTTTCATAAGATCTATTTCCTCCATTAACTTCACAAGCTTGAGGTTAAGCTTAGCCTAATGCTTAGGGGTTGATTGTTAAATCATTCTAGAATTTGACGTTTTGAGTTTTTTTGTTTCGCTTGATAATATTATTACACCACCTTATGAGCTAAAGACATAGGATGTTGATGAGTCTGAGTATATAAAGAACCTCCAGTCTGAATTATCATTCCTTAGCTTGTAGAAATAAATAATTTAGTTATTCCCTCTCATTTATTACAATCATTATGCATGTTGATTTTATTTTTTCCAGAACTTTCATTGTTATATTGCATATATTTCTTGATTACATAATTGAGCATACACATTGGCATAATGTAGGGTGGCATTTGTTATATACTGGCCTCAAGTTTATCTTCATTTTTTGAGGGAATAGTTATTAATGCCTTGGGGTAATTAATGAGTTAATTTAGTAACTAGCCATATAACTTGTGAAAGTAATATGCCATCAACTATCTCATTTGAACAAGTCATCACTTTTCTTATTTGGCCTTACCATCACTTTATCTTCTGTAGATTTCTTTATATAAAAAAAATGTGTAATCAAGAGCTATTTCATTCAGCAGATTTTTTTTTATGTATAAAAGATTTTTTTTTTGTATGTAAGGTTTTTTTTTTAACGAGAGATATGTTAGTATTAAACATGAAGTTATGTTGTGATACAAAATTTTTTCAAAATTAGTTGGATTTAAGCCGGGCAAGTCTGGTATGGAAGTTCTACTATTGAGAGGTTTCATGGAGAAGTACATAGAGCGTAAGGAGGATTTACATATGATTTTTGTTAATTTAGAAAAAACCTTATGATAAGATTAGAAGAAAAGTGCTTTGGAGAGTTCTAGAAAAGAAAGACGTTGATATTACTTATATTCAATTCATTAAAGATATATATAATATAGTTGTTAAATTGACTAAGGATTTTCCTATTTCAATTCAATCACATCATGGATTAGCTTTAAGCCCATCTCATAGATATGCCTTTGTGGTTTTTCCCTTATTATATTCTACTTGTGGATAAGATTAGAGAGAGAGCACGAAAAACTTAGGGAAATCAACTTTAGAAGCTTTTGTTTGAGTGGATCTAAAATTGAATACATGGAATGTAATTTTAATGACAGTAGATCTAATGGTGGGGTTGTAATAATGGGTGATCAAGTCATTAGAAGGAGTGAACATTTAAATATCTCGAGTCTATTGTTCAAAGTGATGATGATATAGATGGGGATGTTATTAGTAGAATTCAAGTTTGATGGTTGAAGTGGAGGAATGTGTCGAGCATATTGTGTGATAGAAAAAACTCCCTAGATAGAGGAAAATTTTATAAGATGATGATGAAACCTGCAATAGTTTATGGCACAGAATGTTCGTCTATAAAAGAGAAGCATAAAATTAACTTATAAGTGTTGCTAAGATGCTCAGGTGGATGCCGCCATTTACACTTAATGATAAAATACAAAATAAATATGTTCGTCAAAGGGTTGGACTATATTAACTTATAAGGGTTGGACAAGATTAGAGAGAGTCTCATTATATGGTTTGATCATATTAGACATCGACCATCTAATAAACCAGTTAGGAGAATTGATGTTTTAGCTTTTATTTATGTTAAGAAAGATAGAGGTTGACCTAAAAAAGACTTGGGGATGTATAAAAGTGATCTTAATTTATTAAAATTAAGAGGTTGCTTGGTCGGTTGCATTAACAGTGTATTGCATTCAAAATGCACAAATTTTGAAAATTCTGTCCTTTGTTTTTTCAGGAATTGAAATTTAATGTAAAATAGTACTGTATTTGAAATTCACCTCTTAGATTCATATTTCCTAAATTTGAAATTTGGTTGATTTGGCCAAATCTAAAACAACTTAATGTAAAGAGTTATCTGCCTCCTCCAGCTACTGTGGACCGTCAACGCCCATCGCTTGCTACTGCTGGATGCCACCACTACAACTCTGCCTGTCACCGTCGCCTTCCCTTTCGCAGGCATACACATTATTGAAATATACATTTTTCATTTTATTTCAAACCAAACATAAAATAAAATAAAATAATTAATTTATTTTTCACTGAACCAAACTCTAAAATATTTTTAAGTCCAAGATATTATTTTTGCATTATATTTATTTTATAATGCATTATTTTTTCACCAAACCAAACAACTCAAACAAAGACACGACACTCATTATGATACAATGGAGAAAAAAAAATCATGTAATCGACCATATTTAGGGGGATAAAGCCTTTTTATTGTAAAGATTTGCTAGTATTAATATAATATATTTTCGTTGGTATGAAATAATGTACATAGTATTATAAAAATATGAATACCATAATATTATCCTGCCCGTCCTGTGGAAATTTTTGAAATATAAGGTGATGATTCAACCCATTCAGAGTACTTTGATTTTATTGTTGTGGGAAGAATTTTATGTGATTGCACATTTGTTAGACATGATCTCAAGCAGCATTACAAATATTCATGAATGTTTTCTATGTGGATTAAGTACTATGCATGACTTCCAAAATATATCTCCAGTAATTAAAAGAAAATGTTCATTTTTGTTGACATTATAGGCTTTGATATTCAATAATTTTGATTTGATAAGGGGTAAGTCCCCATTCTTTATAATTTAAAATATGAGGAATTGTGGCTTTATTATATACAATAGATTTATTTTCTTTTTTTTATAACTGTGTTGAATTTCTACACATTTTAAAGGCATTAATATGGCTTCATACATATTATGATCATAAAAGTACTCTTGTGAAAAAAATGACCATTTCCTAAATATATTTCTAGTATTGCCCAAGGAAGAGTTAGATGATAGTCATCTCCATTAATGTCTAATATACGTGACATAGTAACTTTAGAAGTGCTTTGATTTGTTTGATTTTGATTTACTTGAGAAGATGAGCGTCGACTGATTGATTTTGTGATGATCCATATAAATTTTATGTTAAACTAATCATTCTTGTAGGAGGATTAAAATTGCCCAATTCCATTCCTCTTCCCCAAGAAAAAAGGCCCCATGATTAAAATTAGGAGGGTCTTGAGACCCTTTCCTTTTGGTGTTATCCACCCTTGAGAATCCCTAAAAAGAGAATTATAGTCATCTTTTTGATATATTAAATGTCAAAATTGAAATGGATAATAGAGCTTGCCAAGATGCAAAAATTTGTTTAGAAGCTAACTTCTTGACATCCTTGTGAATAGATTGTAGGCAACCAAATTTATTGTTCTAAAAGATTTTGAGAATTTAGCTTCTAAATAAATTTTTGTATCTTGGTACGCTTAACTCTATGTTTTCAATTTTTATTTTAAATATATCAAAGGTGACTATTTTTCTTTGTGAATTTTTAACGTGTGGATTTTTCGCAAGGATTCTCAAGGCGGATAACACCCAAAGGTTAATCCTGATGCCTCTTTTCATAGAGGGAGGAAGAGGTCGGGGTGATTTTAATCTTACTCGAAGGATGATTAGCTTAGCACAATATTTATGAGGATCATCACTAAATTAAATCCGTAGAGGCATCTTCTCAAGAAATTCAAAATCAAACAAATCAATGCACTCCTACGTCTTACTCTACAATCCTAGACTGAACATGAATCTAGTATTTGCACTAAACATGCTATTTAAAGCATCTTAAACATTAATGGAGATCACTATCATCTAACTTCTCCTTGGACAATTCTAAAAGGATATTTAGAAAATAGTCTTTCTTCTCAAGAATACTTCTATGATCACAATATGTCTGACACTTTTTAAAATATATAGAAATTTGGACTTACCCCTTATCAATTCAAAACAATTGAATATCAAAGCAGAGAATCTCAATATAGAAAAAACTCACTTTTAATTGTTGGACTTATATTGAAGTCATACATAAAGATTTTTTTAGTACTTAACCTATGTAGAAAATATTTTATGGATGTTTGTAATGATGCTTGAGACCTCGTCTAATGATATTTCACATTGATTTTATTAATGATGTTATAATTGTGGTGCAATCACGCAAATTCTTCGGCACATACAAAATCAAAGTATTCTGAATGAGTTGAATCATCTCCTTATATTTTGAAATTTCTACTGAATCTTTATTAGATGGCCAATCTAAAATGTATTGCCTTACGCAATATCAAATTCCATGTATTTATTCATCCAACTAAGAAATTCAGCGCGATTCATTAAATTCTAAATATTTATTTAGAGCTTAACAATAAATAGATATTAAGAAAATATTATATCCATAAATAAATAAATAAAAAAACATCTAATAATGAAATTTTATTAATTAGTTTTGAAGAAAATTTTCTAACAAATCAAAAGTACATATCAAAAAGATAATGAAAATACAATTGGCTGAATTA